AACACAGAAGCTGTCTGAAAAGTAGTGTGGGTGTGTGCATGCTCAAGAGCGGAACCAAACAGCGACCAAAAACATGGGCTGGAACGCCAACCAAACTGGAAGAACCGTCACAGCAGAAAACAACCCTTGGCCACCACACGCACACGTGCTCTCGCTCGCCCCCGGTAAACACGGCGAAACGAGTAGACTGAAAACAGAACACCAACACGCTCGTCCACTTCCTGCTTTCTGATTGGCCAAGGTTTATTTCTGCCGCTTCTCACAAAACGCAGATTTCCCTTACTTCGTCAGACAATCTTTCGCTTTTTGGGGGGCTGAAACAAATAGCACACGGGTGTGGTATTGTGCACGTTTTCTGAGGGGGTGTGGCATCTAATGAAAAATTGTCATATCTTATGCAACCTACGGTATACCTCCTGACCGACCCGCATCCTATCAATAATAAGATGTACCCTATTCATGCTAGCAGCCACACTCCTGAACACCCCTGTCAGGTGTTTTCGACTTGAACTCTTCTGGAACGGTTGTTCCTGTGCGTAGCTATGGAAAAACATTCCAAACCAGTGCCGCGAACGTATCGAAGACGTACATGAAAAAATTTAACACGGGGATCGACATGAAAAAAACACCTTCGTTCGCAACAGCGGCGCTGAGCTACTCTACGGCGAGAGGAAGCGGCGGTCTGGGGCAACGGCTGTGGAAGAGATTAGGACGAGTGGTTGCGGCAATGCTAGAGACGGCAAGAAGACATCTCCGTCGATCAGGTCCTTGAGCGAGGTTGAAAGGCTGCGGTTGAAAGAGAGATACAGCATGGAGTACAGCAGGTGCGCGTACGCGAGGGCTAGAGGGGATGCAGCCTAAAAGTACTTACTTGCAGACACGAGCGTGCACGCTCGGAGGCCTTCGGAACTGATTTTCGGAAAGGGCTACCAAAGCTGACGTTCGCTACCCCTCGCCTGAGGATGCTAGAGCACCGTGAACCACAGGGGATCAACCTATTTTACCGCTCGCTGCAACGTTGTCGCCATCTCGCTAAGAACGCTTTTTACCGATGCTGTGCTTCAAATCGCTTCCATACAGCAGTAGGAAGGCCTTAGCCGTACTGGTAACTATGCCTGCCAAACCCATGGTGGGCATCAGCACTGTTCTTGCGCCACTACTGACGAGACATCCTCACTACTGCTGTTATTTGGTCGGAAGGTGGGACACATGGACCCCAACGGACCCAGCAACATTGGCAGAAGCAGAGGAACGCGAGGAAAAGGAAGATCAAAAGAGAAGCAAGGAGTTCGAGGATAACAATCCGCAATTCTGCAAAGAGATGGTGGACGACATGAAGACTCGCTCGGAAGCCAGGCCAGTGTACCACGGATCTGTCGGTTCATGTACTCATTCTGCTTGCCGTACCGCGCAGTGCGCAGCGTGCCTACCGCACGTCGTGAGATCTGTTCTGGGATTGCCGAGATTGTGAGTAGTGCTACATAGATTCCTGCGTGACGCACAACGCATGTGTTGCAGCTGCCAGCTCAGCGTAGCGCTCTTCGAAGCACACCCGGAACACATGAATCCTACCTTATTTATCTCGGTTCTCGTCTGTGCAACGTCCGTACCTCGTCGACAATGAGCAGTGAGAAGAAGGACTCGGAAGCAACGACCGCGCGGCTCAAGGGTAACCGATTTTACAAGGCAAAGCGCTGGGAGAAGGCACTCGAGCTGTACATGACAAGCCTCAAGGCCAGGCCGTACGCCGTCAACACGTTAGCTAATGTTGCTCAGGTGGGAGATTATTCCGCCCCCTTTGTGCGTGTTTGCCATCGGGGTTGGGTTTTCGACGCTTGGCAATGACGTTGTAAAACAAGCCGCACCCCCCTGTTTGCCATCGGGATTGGGTTTTCGTCGCTTGGCAACGACGTTGTAAAACAAGCCAATTCACTTCGTGAACTCGGCAACCAGGTTACCGTTTTTTTTTTTTTACCTACGATTTTTTTTGGCGGTAACCAATATGGTGGTCGAGTGGATCATGTTGTGCGGGTTCGAGAACCCTCACTCCGCGCAAGGGGGATGATCGCACCACGTTGTGTTGAAATGGTCAAGCACCCTCGAGGCAGTTACACAGTGATTACAACTGTCTCAGGAAGTGAAAGCACCAGAAAGTAAACTAAGTCATACGCAGCTGTCATTCGTACGCAAGGAAGTAAGCACAAGATGCCGAACGCCCTAAGCAGGATGCAGCGCACCCTTCATGCGTCTCGCCGAATATCTCACGGCGCTT